GGTCCCATCGCTTTTCAGCTTTCCTCACCTCCTAAAACAATCACTGTATTTGAACCCAACCTCCTCCCATTTTGTGGGCAAATATCTTGAGACTACAAAATATCAGAGTCCACAAATTCACTGAGAACGGCAAAACCAAATTGTGAGTTAGCTGCAAGCAGTCTGTCATCTGTGCTTGACACAGAGGTCTGTAGAGCGGAAACTCTGTCAATCATGAATCTAATAAATACCTGTTGTGACTTCTATTATATGCATGTTTTTCAAACAAACACATCAAAGAAGGCTTGGGGCTTTGTTTCCGTGTCATTTGTGTGTGGACTGAGCTTCAAACCCAAGCCTTAAGATTCTTACTAGCAAAGCTTCAAGTTTGTGCCGGCTCCTCTTTCACCAGTTTGAGCTGGGACCTCAGAGGAGGAACACGCTCAGAACTTCCCATGCTTTAAAATTAAATGGTTGCATTAGCTGACCTTTAAAATCCCTTTCACTCCTAAAATTCTATAATTGTATGATTATAATGTCTGCACAGCCCAGCTCCCCTGCTACTGTTCAAAAGTTCAGATGAAGATTTATAGTAGGTGAATAGGCTTTGAAAATTACAAAGAATTTCTCAAAATCCAAGCCTTTTTCAAGTAGAAAGTTTGCTTCTAAAGGTTGAAATATCTTCACATTTCCTTGTAGTCTTCATATGTCTGCAACACTGCCTCATCACATGGTAACTACTCAATTACTTCCTAGATATTTGCTGGTTGAATACATGAAAGTGCCACAAAATAGAACAATTTCTGGTTTCGAATAACATTTTGGCTCATTTTCATGCTTGCCAAGGTAATGGCCCTGAAAGACCTGCATTCTGAGTTTGTAGTGAGGCCAACTTGAAAGTAACAAGTTGCCACTACTCTTCAATTAATGGTATAATTTTTGACTCTGTGCAAGATAAATTTCTCCATTACCAATCCAATCCAGAATTACGCTTTGAAAATTAATTTCTCTAATCAAATTATTATTCTTTTGCCCAATCTACAGTGCAAACATCAAGATTTTGCTGGATGATCATTGACCAATTTGATGTGGGACCTCAAAGGAAGAGCTTTAAATCAATAAAGGTGACACCTTTTGTTTAAGTCATTAAACAAAAGGATGAGAGTCTTCTTTGGCCTAAGGGAGAAAAGGACTGGTCTTTGAAAGCACCCTTATCAATGAAGGCTGGGATCCCCCTAAAGAAAGAAGAGAGGGCCCTCCCTGGTGGTGCAGCAGGTTAAAGCACAGCACTAAGAAGCTAAAGCCACTTCATCATGAGTTTGATCCCCACCCCAGAGGTGACCTACAAGGCCCGGCAGACCTCTCCTGACCCACCAGCTGCTTCCCTCAGCAATGCACATCATCAGTTGGACTGTTCTGTTTCCCACTCTGACTCTGGTGAATTCTCTCCAGGCCCCTGCACCTCTGGTCTGTATCCCAGTTCTGTAGGCATAAGTAAATAAATCACAAAAAAAAAAAAAAAAGAGAGAGAGAGAGAGAGAAACTAGCAGGTTTGGTTTCTAGGAGGAAGAGAGGGAAGCAAGGGTTCCTCCTCCCTCCACAAAGCACAAGGGCTCTTTGTCAAAGCCCAGAGCAACATTTTCCTCCTTCAGAAAGATTTTCTGAACTTGGTGGGGTCATATCTCTGATGCCTTCTTTCTCTACCCTTCTAAACCTCCTTTCTAACCTGGAGCAGTATGTGTGAGAATTCCTCTAAGAAAAGTAAATCCAGATGAAGAGTCAAAACCCCAAATGATTTCCAGCCAAAAGTAAATAAAGCTGAAAAAAGCAAAATGGAAAGGAAGAAATTAATGGATTTCAGTTGTCTCTCCATACCAAAAACTTACATAGTTTGGTTTCAAATTTAAGTTACTTCTAAAGAATTTGTACAAGTAGAGCTGATTTTATCTTTCCAGAGAGTTTACAGCTCAACTCTTTTAAAGCACACCTATTACAGTGATCCTTTTAAAGTGGAAGCATTTGCAGTCCATTTGCTGAGAATTCAGAGGGCAGACACTATTTTTAATGTCTGCTTTTAATAATCCATTTGAGGAAAAGGTTACACAGATGTGGATACAATTTGCTCTAAGTATTTTTTTTTTAAGAATTTGATTTCTTAGGGTTTTGATCCCCATTGATTTTTGTCAACGAGCAAAAGCAGAAAATACCAATAATTTCCGAAATTATCTTCCTTTTCCAGAAAACTTTAGGAATAGGCTAATCATGGAGGAAAGTGGTGTAGTCTTTTTAGACATGTTTTCAACCCAACATCTCAGAAAGTAACCCGGCAGGTTTTATTAGTATAATGCATTAAAAATGGGCCATTTATTAGGAAAATAGTTAAAACCAAAGGTCAGTAGAGAGCACAGATTTGCAATTCCAATAAGAAATCTTTTCACATACATATAAAAATAGGCCTGTACTCGGTCTAAGTCACCATCATTCCTCATCTGGACACCCCTTCTCCACATAGTCATGTCCAAAGTGGGGTAGTTTGAAAGCTGTAATATATGTCACAGAAGAACTAATAAATAGACTGACACAAAAAGGAATTTCTTCTTGACCTGGAGTCAGGTATTCTCTCTAAGGAGGTACATTCAAAGTGAAGATTTCAAAGAGGAGGAGTCAGCCCCATGAAGTGGACATTATAGGCTTCAAACTACCCAAATGACAGCAAAGGGGATGCCATGTTGTGTGCAGAAAGAATAATAGCCTTGTTGCTATTTAATTACATATATACACACAGAGAGAGACACAGAAACAGAGAGAAACAGAAGGCAACAAAGACAGAATAGGAACATTTTGGAGCCACATGCTGATTAATAATCAAAAAAGTGCAAAAGTGGTCTTTGAAACATTCCAAAATTGCTATTCCTTGCCACAATGCACTGACTTACCTTAGCAAGGAGAATGAAGCCCACACGAAGTCCCTTACCAAGGCCTAGCAGGGCTTGAGCTGGGCCCTGTCGGCCCCTGTCCCAGCTGGCCACGCCCCCTCTTCACCCACGTGCTCCAGCTCACAGGAAGCAGGCAGCCAGTGTGTCTGGGCATTTCCAGCTTTGCAAAGGCTGTTCCACCTGCCTGGAAGCCTATAATGCCCACTTCATGGGGCTGACTCCTCCTCTTTGAAATCTTCACTTTGAATGTACCTCCTTAGAATACCTGACTCCAGGTCAAGAAGAAATTCCTTTTTGTGTCAGTCTATTTATTAGTTCTTCTGTAACATTTATTACAGCTTTCGAATGCTTTATTTGAATTTTTGTTTTGTTTTGTTTTGCTAGTTGTCCCCTCAGCCCACCCCAAAGCTACCTGTGGATAAAGATTACCCCTCCCTTCTTTGTTCTTTCCCTAAAGCCTCTCTCAGTGCTTGGCTTATTGTAAGGGCTCAATAAATATGACTAGACAGGTAAGGGACACTTACATGGTTTCTAATAGTTAAGATTTTGTAGGTCAGTTGCATGAATGTGCCAGGTTCCACATTAAGGATTTTATAGGCATTGATTTGTTAATTTTTTTATTTATTAATATTTTTACAAAATTTACGTCAGTGGAGCAAGTAATGTCCCTACCTTACCTAACCAAGTCCTCAGAGTTTCCTGGCAATTTGATACAAGACACAAGCCTTCCACCCAAGCATCTTATTCTGGTATGTTCTTGACTTTATGCAATTCTGTTTCTACTCCAGATCCAAGTAATAACAGATAACACTTATTGGTGATTTACTGTGTGACAGGCACTTAATTAGACTTTGAATCATTTTTGGTAATTTTTTGGTAAGTTTTTTAGGCTAAAATGAAAACTGAAAGCAAATACACTAGGTTTTTGCTTTTACCTAGTGGTGTCAGGGCTTAATGTTAGAGTGGTTACTCGCTATGCATATATCCTTACTGCACAAAGGACAGCAGCTGTCACCCTGGTTTTCCTTCCTCTCCTTTCCCTAAGGCTCTTCCTATCTGAGGGATACTTTGGCTTTGGCTGCACTAAATCATATTATATGCCTCATCATTAGAACAATGTCTTTTAATAGCTCTCAAAATACTTGGCTCTCCTTGGATACCAT